GGTAAACACACACACAATCTCCGTATTTTCTCCATTTCTTTTCATCCCACCAGGTCTCACTGTCACTTTCACCCTGCAAACAGGCCTGGGATTTCACTGAGGTTAATGAATAAACATGCGGGTAATCAAGGCAATGGCCATCCTCAAGCCAATGAAAAGCATTGCTAACGTCCTCAAACATCTTCCTGGGTGCTTTATTCTTAGTCAGTAAATAAATTATTGTCTTTGAAAAGGCCCAGCCTGTATTTCAGTGGGAGCCCCTAGGCACATGTTTGTTAACTGAGGACCAAGGCAAATCATGAGACTTTTTCTCCAATAAATGGTCAATGGTTTAGAAAGAGCACATCATCTAGTGCCTTTGCTATAGTTTATGATACAATTGAGTGTATCCTTGCCAAAGGGTGTCTGGCATTGTCTTCTGAATAGACAAACAATACATTTTAAAAACTGAAAGAGATGAAAAACTACACTTACAGAGCAGAGTTCTGCACAAATAAAATAAAATAAAATAAAATAAAATAAAATAAAATAAAATAAAATAATAAAATATCTCTTCCCCCATGACCTGACCCATGGGAAAGGTCATGATCATCAGCATGGAAAGAAGGATCCCAAGCACCTCACCTAAATTGCAGAAGGCTTCTCAGTAATATTGGGGAATATCAGGCAATATCAGGGAAATTGGGAACATCCTGGAAGAAAGGGGGCAGTGGGTGCATGATTCTTCCCCCATAGAGAGAAGTAACTTTGTGTTTCTCAAGCTTAAAGTTGTTCAAGTTCAATGTATCTCAGCTCAGCAATAACTAGCCTTACTGATGTGACCAAAAGTTGCTTACACATCTACAGAATTTAACAGGGATAAGAGAGCTCTGTCTTCTACTCGGCACAGATTGCTGACCTGTGAGTATATTCAGGCTCACAGTTCCATGCTAAAGAGTGAAGGCAGTCTAGTTCCCAGACTGATGATAATGGCAGTTATCCCAATTTTCATTTAATAATTTCCAATTGTCTTCTATTTAAAAGAGGTCATAAAATACGTTAAAAATTTCCCTTCCAAAGATAGATCTCCCAAACAAAAAAACTGTGTGTGTCTCTTTCCAGAGCATACATGTATCTCTCATTATTTGCATGACCAATGTGAAGAACAAAACCTTTACAGTCAGGTGCAAGTCTTGCACAGTCTACCTATGCAAAAGGAGGCAAGCCCATGTTGAATCAATATCATGTTAGTTGCTTCTCCAGTGCCCTTTACTCCACCTGATGGGAGGTGGAACACTTCCATAGCGTTCCAACCCTTCCATATGGGAGTTGAATGCTTTCCTCAGAATCTGACTGAATTTGGCCCTCAATGAAGAATGTTTCAGAGCAGAAAAGGACCAGGTAGAAACCAAAAGAAGATATGGAAAACCAGGTAGCAAGAATGAAGAAGAAAAATCTCATTCTCATCAGTTCTGGTGTCTGGAGTTTGAATTTCTGCGGGACTGTCCCTGAGACCTTCACATTGCTTTAGAGCAGCCAGACAGACTCTCCAGGCACATCCAGCTTGCATAACAGTCCCACAGTTCACATTCTCCCTGAAGATAAAAAGATTTTATGACCTCCCTATTACCTACAATATATAGCTTTGTAATATTTACTGGCAGGACACATCAGACTTTGCAGACCGGGAATGCATTTTTCTCTATTCTTTATTTTCCTCTKTGTGTAGATGGCAGGCTTGATAGTTAATGACTTTGTGATTTTACTAAATCACAAGTACAGACACTTAAAAATTAAAGAGAAAATAAAACTATCCAGAGGAAAAAAATTCTTATGTTTGCACACTCTCCCATATATATCTTATAYGTATTTAATGAATAATGTCTTTTTTTTTTACACTGTAATGGAAAAGCAATTGAAAAAAATACAGTAATTTTATTTCTCTATCTGAAAGGCATGTAAAATGACTGAAGATCCCGGTCATCTACAGTATCTTTTTTTTCTGACATGCGACTGTTTGTGTTATCCCTAATGTATTTCATAAAATCTGTCTTATGCCTTT